ATCCATCTTTCAAAATATTTTCTAATACCCTTGCACAAAATTTGAACTAATAAAGTCTCACACACAAGTACCTTAGTAACGTCAAGGGCAATCTCGTCATTACATATTCCCGTCAAAAGCACTTCTGGGACGGGCTGTGACAATGTCCCTATTGAGCTATTGAAGCTCATCCCTCTATTGTTATGCAAGTTCACGAATTAGACATTCAAGAGGGTAGGAAGCATGAGATAGGATTACATTGGAGTAGAGAAAGCTTATTCATCTATTTACTGTAGGTTGTAAAGAATTTTGATTTGTTTAAGAATCATGAATTATTTTTATAAGAGGAATTTATTTTCTAACCTTTTTCAATTTCCTTTTATTTATTTAGCTTTTAACTCACGTTTCGGATTCAAATTCGAGTTTTTATTTCTGACCCCGAGTTCGGAGTGTGACAAGCATATAGCCGGAAACATTTTTAAAATCAAATTTCTTGTATCAAAATTAAACTTTTTAATATGCTTATAATAAAAGTGCTACCAACCATTGCGTCAATGAACTCTTCCAAAAAAAAGCTATAAAACATTAATCTAGTGGTACTTCTTACATGTTTACTTATAGGAAATAGAAATCAGAATCATGTCAATTCTTCATTTCCATGCGCTTACTAAAACATGGGTTGTGGAATAATTTCATTTTCTAACTTCCATGTTTTTAGTAAGACATGAAATTTAAAAAGTATGAATTTAACCTTGATATGATGTACTTGAAAAATTTAAGTATCAAATTAACTTAGAGAGATTAGTTGATCACATTCACCTTTTTATCTTCCTCAATCTACGACTTCCGTCATTAAAATAGGTAAACATTTCATAGTTGCATAATCACTTATATTTCCCTTCTCTATTTTGATGTTAGATCCAATCTAATGGAAATTTTTTCTTTATATTTGTAAGGAGTTTCAAATTCGAAATCCTGCTATCAAACTTTTACCATGGAAAGTAAAAAAAATTAAATCTACTTCCAACTTGTTATTAGATCATCTCCAACCCTTGAGTTAAAATATAAAAATTTTAGCCTAGAAAACTTAGGTTTTAACCTAGAAACAGTTTTTCTACTCCAACTCTTCGAGGTTAAATTTTTAACCCAAGATTATTAGACAAACTCCAACCCTTGGAGTAAGTCCTATAATTTACCTTCTATTCCCCCTTCATTTCATTCCAACCCTTGGGCCAATTTGGGGTTATGAGTTAGAAGCTAAGTTTGGGCCAAATACCATTCAGAAAAGTAGGCTAGGTTAGTGGAGGGATCCCCTAATGCGCTTGGAAGAGACGGAGTTGGACGACAATCACCCAAAATCACTCGCGTGAATTGCTGAACGCGCTAGGATGTTTTCAAGCCATCATCATGTCTGCAAAAAGCAACCCCACCCACGTGGGTGTGTTTGCTGCTTGTCGGCTAAAAAAGTCTGAGCCTAACGGCTCTTTTATTTTATCAATGGCTCACATTTAAATGGGCTGTTGGTTATCCGACAGTCCACACTTAATCTAATTAATGTTTTGTTTTATATTTTTAAATTTGTTGAATCTAATGACTGATATAGTGCTATGATGAAATCTAACGATAAAAAAACAGATCTAATGGCCTAAATTTAAATTCAACGGCTAAAATAATTTATTTGAATCAAAATTCATCCAAAAACTCTATAAATACATGTTTGATGGGGTCAATTTAGTGAATTTTTAAATTTCTCATAATCAAAATATTTTTAGATTAAAATGTTCATAAAATTAATTTAGTATGACCAAGATAATTTTTTCTTTAAAAAAGTATTTTAAAAAAATTAGTCTAAATCCATTCTTTAATAATTTGGGGCTAAAAATTTAACCTATAAGAGTTAGAGCAGAAAAACTGTTTTTGGGTTAAAACCTAAATTTTCTGGGCAAAAAATTTTAGATTTTAACCCAAGGGTTGGAGATGATCTTAAAGAATTAATTTAGGCTCATTTTTTTTTAATGTAACTTTAAAAAAAATTATGCAAACTATCGCAATTTAATTTTAAAACCATTTTAACCTACACATATTTAGATTCTGATAAATATTGAAAAATCACTAAGCCGACATCATGAAACATTATGGAAGAATATGAAACACATGATAGTTATATATACAACTTTGAGATAATTTTTTTTTTTTAGCCGTTAGATTTAAATTTAAACTGTTAGATCAATTTTTCATAGTTGGATTTGATCATATTAGACTTCAACCATTAGATTTAATGAATTTATAAATATAAAACAAAAAACAATTTGAATGTGGATTGTTGGGTTAACCAACACTCCATTTAATCTGTAGATGACAAAAAGAGGCGTTGGGCTCAGCCACAAGGCCGACAACACCCACGTGGGTGGGATCTCTGCCTCTTTAAACTTCTGCATGTTAAGGCATAAGACGCGTTAAACACGGAGCTGCCTTCCTTTTGCTAGCGTGTCCAAGCGCAGACGTGGGCCAGCCCACTAACCCAAACTCAAATCTTGACCAGAATTTGCCCCAATTTTGAGTTTTAACCCATAACTCCATTTTGGCCCAAGGGTTGAAGTGTTTTGGGGGGAATAGAAGCCAAATTTTGAGATTTACTCCAAGAGTTGGAGTGGTTCTTATAAAAAAAAAAAAAAAAAGGGGAAAAAATCATATGAGTCTCCCCCACGTCGCCACGTGTAATGGGTAAGAAGTAGGGGTGGGCACGGGCCGGGCCGGGCCCAATTTTGGAGGAACCGGACTTTACCCGTTTTAAACAGTAACGGGGCAGGACGGGCCGGGTAGAGGGATTTTGAGTTTAGGAACCGGACCTAACCCTGCCCGTTTCAAACGGGCCAATTCGGGACAGGTCCACGGGTCCAACTCTTTTTTTTTTTTTTTTTTTGTAATTTATATACTGCACAGCAACAGAGACATGTTTTAGAAAATTACAAGATCTGTTTCTCAAGCTTTTACACACATGAGCTATTTTTTAAAATTGAGGATGCGCTACACATCAATTCTTATATATTCTTATACACACACACACACACACATATTAATGAACCGGATGTGGGAACTCGGCAAGTATCATTATCAATCACCAATAAGGCACTGAACTCAAAACTATATAAATCCTTATGTAATGGACTGTACAAATTCACTGAATTTCTAAATCCTCAGCAACTTCATCTCTTCAACTAGTGAAAGAGTACAACCATACTATTGTTTGGCATCATAACAATATTTGGTATTGCAATAGCACCTTAACAAGAGGGTACACAGACCCTTGATCCTATCATTGTAAAATAAAAGGCTAGAAGAAGTATGATTCGACATAGCCTAGTCTCCCACTAAAACAAATGACATTTTTGCATTCAACGGACAACACTAGATTTCATTAACCAAACATAAATATAATCGTAAAAGAAAGGCAAAATTAAATGTACCAATAAATGAATGAAGTTCTATAGCCAATTTTGCACCATGCTCAATGCCATTTCAAGCATCTGTGGTACTTGAGCTAAACAAAATGTGAATGATTAACCACAATAGCAGAACCCCATCGGCCGTAATAATACATCGAATCTGCTCTAGATTAACCACAACAGCCTTTTCACTTCCAAGGATGGTTGAAGATACATCTTATATAAAGCTTTGAATGTAAATTCATCTCTGAAGAACATCATATACAAATTCAATCTACAAACTCATCTTTGACTTACAAACATCAAGATTGCAGCTTCAATTACCAATTTTAGTTCAAAAATAAATATCTTCAAAAAATTGTAACAAATTTAAATACCAACAACTTAAAATCAACAATCTATAAGCAGATCCATAAAATTCAAAACCAATCAAAAAGTTTCAGCAAGTAATTAAATCACAGCAGTCCATATAATGAATCGAAAAACTTATGCAATCACAACCCCAAAAAACCTAAATTCCCAAATCAGAAACCCACATAATTCCTAAATTAATTGAAAAGCTTATGCAAAAACCCTAAATTCCTAAATCAGAAACCCAAATTCATAAATTACCCAGGGATTTGCAAGATGATGGTGGTGTTCTCAATGGCGAGGATGGTGTGGTGGTGGCCAGAACTCGCGATGGTGTGGTTGTGGTGTTCTTCCCCGATTGATGTCGACACAGTCTCAAGGAGTCAAGTCCAGTAGGGGTGGGAGGGAGAACGAGAAAGTGGGGGGATGGACAGAGATGACGCCTTATCGAGGCCTGAAACGAGAGATGAGAGGAGATTCGGGGAGTGAGTGCGACTGTGCGAGGTCTGAGAGAGTCGGAGAGACAGGTTTGAGAGAGTCAGAGAGATGGACTCTGATATATGTTTTCGAAAAGGATGATGAGTGGTGCCGTTGTATTCACCGAGAAGGATGATGGGTGGTGCAGTTGTATTCGCCGAGGAGAATCGACAGTTGGTGAGGGGATTGGAGTCGAGGGAAGGACAATTGGAGTCGATGGAAGGGAACTCTCGAGGGACTGAGGTCTTAGAGTTTGAGAGAGTGAGAGTGAGAGTCGGGAATTGGGATAAGAGAGATAGAGAACTTAGGGTAACACTAAAACAACAGTTTAGATTAGATATGTAGCTTATTCATCAATCTGGTCCATTCATTTTAATTACAAACGGACCGGTCTGGGTACTCGCAATTCCTATACTCCAGGAACCAACCCGAACCGAAAATCACAAAGCCCGCCCCATTTCTCTTTTTTAAAAGTAGAAACCGGCCCGTATCCGTCCCGAACCGTCATTACCTGCTCCGACCCGCAGTTCCTGTACCCGTTTGCCCAGCCCTACTAAGAAGGATCTGTTGAAAGTTACAAAAGTTTCCTTGTAGTTGACGTTACTACTGTGCAGTGTACAAACCCGGCCGGTGGAAGAGCGCACCAGGTTTCCCTCTTCCTTAATTAACGGCGCGCACCGCGTAACCACCATAACGCCGTTAAAAAGTAAAAAAATATCAAAACACAAAAAAACCCATTAAAAAAAAAAAAAAAACCAACCGGCCGCCAGGCACTCTCTCTCTCTCTCTCTCGTCTCATTGACTCCTCCATCTCTCTTCTCCGACGCGTTTTAGGGTTTGTTTTCCTTGTTCGGTTTTGTATCTGAATTTTCAGAAATTTCCCAATTCGTTACGCTTTTGGAATTCTTATCTCTTTAGGAAAGTTCTCTGCTTTTCGATTTCCTTCCGTTATTAGGGTTTCGGCTATGTCTTTACTGTAAAAGCCTTTCCTCTTGCCCTCTTTTCGTAGATTCTAGGGTTTGGGTTCAAGATCCTGCGATCTTTCTAGTGGAATTCTAGGGTTTTCTGATTTTGTTCGAAAGGATTTTATTTTATTTTTTTTCAATTTCGTTTTGGGGATGCTGAGATGGTGAGTTCCGAGGGATTGAGTGCTCCGCTGTCGCTTCCTCAAGTGGCAGCGAGGCAGTACGGAGTGACAAAGCCAATATCGACTGCCGGGCCGACGGAAGTCGATATTCTGAGGACATTAGAGTTGGAGAAGGTTTGTGCTATCGAATTTTGATTTGGAAATATTGATTATTTTTTGGTTCTTGATGTTCTGGTTGTGAAAGTTTTTGTTTCTGGGTGTTTGAAGTTTTTGGTTGATGCTGGGCTTTATGAAACCAAAGAAGGAGTTGCCAAGAGAGAGGAGGTTCTTCGGCGTATCGAGCAGGTGATTATTCTTTGTTTTTAAATTTCCATAAGAGAAAGTTTTTGGTTGTGAAAATTGTGCGCTAATGAACACTTAATACAGTTTTAGTATTGTAGACTTGTTTGAGTCACTAAAATCCAAAGAGAGCGATTAGAAAGTTATGGTTTAGGACAGTAATTATTTACTATTAATTTGATAATTGTTTTGATGCTTACCATCTTCCAAAATTTTCAGTCAGAATCTATTATGCAGAATATAAATCTCTTCGGTTGATTGCCTTCTTTTGTTTGTGCTAATTGTAGGTGTGATTGATTTTACTATTAACAAACTTGTGTTTGTCTTATTTATTCATTGTTGCCTAATTTTTGGGTTTAATTGCTGGGTAATGCTAGGGTGACCAACTGTTTAGACAAAATTTTGTAAACATATGACGTGGTTGTTGATGATTGGATTGTTACTTAAGTGTGTTGATTAATGTGCTTATTTCCTTTTGGTGACACATCACATGGTTTACAAATTTGGTGTAAAAAAATTTTCTTCCTAGCATTACTCTTAATTGCCACTTGTAATTACAAATATGCGCTGGTAGGGTGTTTATATCTCATGGGTTTGGATGTGTAATTATATTTTGTATCATATGGGAACATCGAATAGGTTTTCTGAGGTTTAGAATAAGAACATCTAGAAGATTGAAAGGGGTGAAAATATTCTACACTTCACTAATGGCAATGATCCTGTATTAGTGTATGATGAGTAAAAAGTTGCAGACATATGGTTGTAGAGGTAAAGTTAGAGTACGTGTCTTGTATAAATTATAGTATCCCCTTAAAAACTATATGACTAATAAAGTAGCAAAAGCTAACTTGTGATGCATGACCAGGATGATAGCCTGTACAAGCAACTTTTTTTGTTACAGAAAACATTTTGATGCTGACCGTTGGAATAAAATTCATGGTTTTGGGTTTGATGTGTTTCTGATTAAAAGCCATGCTTTTGATATATCAGCCTTATGAGATCTGTGATTAATGTCTATGTTAATCGGCATTGATATTTTGTTTTTGTTCCTTTTATAATAATCTATTTAGTTTCAGTGATTTGTCATTTTCAACTTTCCCATCCCCTCTTCTGATTGTTAGATTGTCAAGGATTGGGTGAAGCAACTTACTCGCTTGAGAGGGTACACAGATCAAATGGTTGAGGACGCTAATGCTCGTATTTTTACATTTGGGTCCTATAGGCTCGGGGTAAGTGTGGTTGCTCTTGATTTTGTTTTTAGATTTCGATTTGTGGTCTGAATTGGTTTGTGAGAGAGGGAAACAAGACTTTGAAATACAAAATGTCTTTAGTCGTTGCTCCATCAACTTTTTACTAATTTGTTATTTTTCTTTGCCAATGATATTGGTTTTGCTTGTTCAGATTTTACTTGTATACTGGTACTTTTTATGTAGGTGCATGGTCCTGGGGCTGACATAGACACGTTATGTGTTGGGCCATCCTATGTCAATCGAGAGGTAAGTATTGATGTGAAGCAGTTTTTCCTTGGAGTTCTGAGTCTTGTCATTGTTCACTCTATAACTGTATGTTTATTTAGTACTGTTATGTCATATTCAGGAAGACTTCTTCTTTGTATTGCACAACATTCTTGCTGAGATGGAAGAGGTGACCGAGCTGCAACCAGTTCCAGATGCTCATGTCCCTGTAATGAAATTTAAGTTTGACGGAATATCGATCGACCTCCTTTATGCTAGTATTTCTCTCTTGGTTGTACCAGAAGTAAGTGCTGAACACTTGTTGATGAACTTACTTGAAAAAACCCAAGTATTATGGAAGAAGTATGGAAGTGCAACCCTTTATTTTTTCTGAAGTTGACGTGCTATTTTGTGTATGACATGGTTTAGGGGTTTTCTCTCTCCTCTCTCTATGTTGTCTTTCTGTTATTTTTTTGATGTGATATGCGGGTTGGCCACAGGCTTTGACTGCGTAGCTGTTTAGGATAGATTAATTTGTTTTTGTGTTCACCATCTATACGTTCGCTGTTTCTATTTAAGAGAACTCTGCCGTTTATTGAACAATATAATAAAACATTCTTTACGTGTAATTCAAGGGAAATATAAGTGTTCAGTTAGCTATCTGAACAAATAAGCTTAGCGTATAAAATTCCCTTATGGTGATCGTAGGAAAACAGGTTTTGTACATTACCAGGTTTTGCTACTTATTTGCTGTAGCTAATTTTCAACTTATCGAGATGTATAGCATTTTAGAATGTTTTTAATTTATCATGTTAATCGCATTTTTTTTGTAGCCTTGGCATTTGTCCTCTTCATCATTTTGCATAATCAATCTAGGGGTCTTTTTTATTAAACAGGACCTGGACATTTCTGATGTATCTTTGTTGTACAATATCGATGAGCCTACTGTTCGAAGTCTTAATGGCTGCAGGGTCGCAGATCAAATTTTAAAGCTTGTTCCAAATGTTGAGGTGAAATGCTTCCTATGATTGGGTTTAATTTGTATGCCGATTGCCAGTTTTTATTTTATGAAGACATATATGTACTGATTTATAGTGAACCTCTCATGTGGTATTTTTTGGTTGTAGCACTTTTGCACAACACTCAGATGCTTGAAATTTTGGGCGAAAAGACGCGGTGTTTATTCCAATGTGAGTACCTCCTCACTTTAGAAGTTATTCTGTTTTATATTTTTTATTTTTCAACATTTATGCTGACTGCGTCCTGTATGAAAACATTTATTTTCAGGTTACTGGATTTCTTGGCGGAGTAAACTGGGCTCTTCTTGTTGCCCGGGTTTGCCAACTTTATCCCAATGCAGTTCCCAGCATGCTTGTTTCTCGATTCTTTAGGGTCTATACACAGTGGCGGTGGCCAAATCCTGTCATGTTGTGTCCCATTGAAGAGGATGAACTTGGCTTTTCTGTTTGGGACCCTCGCAGATATCCTCGTGACCGGACTCATCATATGCCAATTATAACTCCTGCATACCCTTGTATGAATTCTAGCTATAATGTTTCACAAAGTACTCTGCGTGTTATGGTCGAGCAGTTCTGTTACGGAAACAAGACCTGTGAGGTTTGTACTTGTTCTGTTCCCTTGCCCGCACATTTCATTTAGTTTTGTGGTATGTGTTATTTAGCTTGCTTTGCCTGGCTGACTATTTTATCCTTTCTTCTTTTCATTTTTTAAATCCAGGAAGTGGAATTGAATAGAGCTCAATGGTGTGCATTGTTTGAGCCGTACATGTTCTTTGAAAGCTACAAAAACTATCTCCAGGTTGACATAATTGCTGCTGATGTTGACGACTTGCGTGCTTGGAAAGGCTGGGTGGAATCTCGACTGAGGCAACTAACTCTAATGGTAATAACTGTATTTTCATTTTTTTCTTCTTTTAAAAATAGAAATGTTAGTATATTGTTACCTCATATTTTGGTGTGTTTTTTATATTTGCAGATTGAACGGGATACTTTAGGGATGTTACAGTGCCATCCTTGTCCACATGAGTATGTTGATACGAATAAAGAATGCGCACATTGTGCATTTTTTATGGGTTTGCAGAGGAAACAGGGTGAAAAGGTTCAGGGTCAGCAGTTTGATATACGAGGGACTGTTGATGGGTTCAGGCATTCCATTAATATGTACATGTTTTGGAAACCAGGGATGGAAATTCATGTATCTCATGTTCGTAGAAGGCAACTTCCTCCTTATGTGTATCCTGATGGTTGTAAACGACCTCGACAATCCAGAGTTATGGTCCAGCAGCAGGCTGATGATGGCGAAGCTTGTGGGAGTGGTTCTAGTGAGAGACACCTGAAGAGGAAGGATCTTGATGGGGTGGAGGTGAATCAAGATACTCCACCGCAGAAATGGCAATCTACTAGCCCTCTGCCCCATGGTTCGGTTTCTCCTGTAATTATCAATCACAAGGCAGGCAGTGCATCTCCAGAGCCTTCGGATAAAGGTTTTAGCATGGAAGTAGTAGAGTCAAATAAAATAACACTGTCTGGTGAAATGGAGCCTGGATATGCCTCCAATTCCAGTACTATTACAAATGTTTCAAGCAAGGGCAGTTGTGATGATGCTGGATTTGGATCAGTGGCTGGTAGCTGTGAGGGGAACACTAGGAGCGTTGAGGGAAGCAGTGTTGGGACAACCCAGGATATTTGCTGGGTGATGTGTGTGAGGCAGACTCCGAAGCTCTTTCGGATAGTGGATGCGTAAATGGAAACCTACGGTAAAATGAATCCCATGAAGCATTAGAGGTTTTGGATTTAAGTTCCTTTACTTTGACTCAGTTTTCTGGTGAATCATTTTCATTATCTGGTTGCTTTCATCTACAACGTATTATTATGCTAGTTGGATGTCGTCTTAATTTTGTTCAGTTTAACTCAGAGATTCTATGACCAAATGCACCAATGGCATAAAAGTAGCAACATCTGAGGTATCTTCAAACACTAGTGCACGTCCTGCCAGGATCTGCGTTGGTCCTCATTTATGTTGTGCATGTTTAAACATTGGACATTTGGGAATACCCTGCACCATAACTAGCTCGTTTTCATTCTCCTTAAGATCCTCTTATCTCGGAGCTTTAGTTTGTGCTGACCAATCTATCTAATTTCTTTTCATCTTTTTTTTTTTTGTTTTTTATGTTTTGTGTTTAGTAAAAAGGTGAATGCTGCACTTGGGATGGTTGGTACTAAATTCCAACGAGGGATAACTCAGAACAAATAACAGGGTTGGGGCATGTGTATTGAACTTCTTCATATAATTTTCTTGATTATTTTGAAGTCTTGTTTATCTTTATGCTTCGCCTTTTGCTGTGGTGATAACAGGTTGAGCCTAACATCAATGGCCTGAGCATGTTGGATCTTTGTGGATTTTTCTGAAATTAAGGAGCTTCAATTAATGAGAGGACGAAAGCCAGCAGCTCGGGTAAGTGTTCTTTTTATTGCTGGCTTTCATTTCGTTCTTTACCAGGCATGCTCGTCTATACAACCTTGTGGTCAAAGCCAAGAGATTCGAACGGGAAGTTTGTCTTTTTGTACAATTTACTTCTTTAGCATTTATGAATTATGCTTATCTGCTCAACTTTTGAGCTTTGGAAGAGTCTTAAGAGAATTTATTCAATTGCTCGCTGAACTTCTGCAGATAGGCATTAGTTTTTTACTTTTAGTCGTCTGGGCGGGTGTGGCCAAAGGTTTTTACACTTCGTAGGTACACTGGATCTAGGGAAAAAAAAAAAAAAAAACCAAAAAAATTGAAAAAGGAAAAAGAGTTCGCTATGTAAGGTGCTCAATGTGCACTGGCCTTTGTGTTCTGAGTTTGAGTGGGACCACTGTTGAGGTTTGTCTGATCTTCAATGTTTGTACATTCTATCCTATGTAATGAATATTGAAAATGTCTCCGTCTCCATGGCTCGTTACTTGTTCTGTAGAGATAATGTCTGGTTCAGATTGTGTTTATTCGTACGACTGTTTTATTAATCCTTCCAAAATCAGAATACAGTACAGTTTACGCTGTTGTAAAGCGTTGAAGTAAAGACGCCATACGTATTGCACTGAGAAAATTGTGAACTCATTCATAGCAGTCTTTCTACTTGATCATTCATCGCAACAAATGCCGAACTTGAAGGCTGCATTGTTTGGTCATTCATCGCAATAAAATGGGTCCAACTCCGTTCAAGTAGTTCTTGAGGATCCTTGAAAAGGTTTAAATTGTCACCGTATTGGTTTGGTACTGAAGTGCTTTTATAAAAAGTAGGTATAAAAAAAAACCGAGTTCAAAAAGGTGTTTGGTAAACACTTAAAAAACAACTTATTTTTATATTTTTGGATGAAAAAAAAGCTGAAAATGTGAAGCAACAAAAATAAGCTAATTTACAGCAGAAGCAGTTGTTTGGAGTGATTTTTGAAATGGACTAAAGTTGTCGCTTATCACGAAGTATTGCAATCATATCCATTGACGAAGTTTGATTGCCAGTTTGATCACTTTATTGATTTGATATGTTGAACGTGAGATCCTATATAGATCAGCGAGTCATATTAATGGACTAGGATTCTCTTCTCTCATTTTTCTATCTCCTTCCATCTTCTCTTCTCATATTCTTTTATTTTGTCTTTCTTTTGCTATATAAAATTAATATTAAATGTTGACTTGGCTTAACTGTAACGGTTCAAATAGGAGAGGAGGGAAGGGGAGGGAAAAATGGGGAAGAGAATCCTACTCCCATATTAATTGGGTCATTTTGACATAAAAATCTCATCAATTCAATGGGGAGTAGACGTTCAAACAAGGAAAATATATAAATTGATATAATTTCAAAACCTAAGAGTATAGTTATTTAGTACTACGATCTAGTGATATTTCTCTTCACTTAAGTGAGAGGTCTTAAGTTTGATTCTCATCGAAAGCGAATTTGAACTACATTATTGTTAGTTCATTATGAGGCAGTCCACGCCCTTTCTCCCTAAGGGTGAAATATGAAAAATTAGATCATGTCCCAAACGTCATCAGAAAAGTGCAGTAAAGTATAGATAGATTTTAGCTTTTATATTAGTACCCCACAATATGTTTAATACACCCAACATTAAAATTTAATATGCAATAGCAATTTTGGCCTCATAAGGTTTAAAAAATAATAATTATTTACATACGCTCCAAATTACTTTTAACGTGTATAACCCAAGTTCTATCTTTCTTCTTCACCCCTTAAAACCATACTCACCCTTCTAGAACAAAACCCTAACTAATGAAACTACAAACACGTTAATTGAAAAAAAAAACATGAAATCGACATTTTAGAAGCTTCAAATGAGGTAAGATTTAGTTTATTTATTTATTATTGTTTTAGTGATTTCAATGACATCGACATGCCTATAGCTGATTTCTCTTAAAAAAAAGTATGATTGATGATGAGAATCACACACCTAATAAACCTTAGCCATATCTGATCACAAGGATCCCTAGATCAGATACCATGGCTGCCATAATTTTTTTGCGTTATAATTTATTTAATTTTAGAAGCAGCGTAATAGCCTAATCTGTTCCTCTAATTCAATGATTTAACAACTCAATACATTCCCTTGATTCGACCATATGAAAAGAAGAGGATTCATCATCATCCAATGTCACTGCAGCTACTATATCAAGCTCTACATTCCTATGGCTGCCATATTTGTTTCGATTTTTTTGTTTTTTAACTTCCTCATCTTCCTCATCCACTGCTGCGAAAATCATCTTTCTCATCTGCTGACGTTGAATACCCACAACCTTCCACCTCTTTCCATAGAGCAAATAGGATCACAAAATTGAAGGGATAAAGAAATATGAAGGGATAAACACATGCAAATAGAATCAAATAATTGTTCGCAACACATCGTTCAAATATTGAGGGATGTAGGATGATAGTATTTAGAATTATATGAAGGCATAGAGAATAGAAGAGATCCGGATTCACCGGATTCACTCCGGCCTTCGGAAACCATCAGACTAAAAGTGTATTCGAATCACTTTAATAGAGAAATTAGAAAAATTCCAAAATCACACCGGCTTCAGTATCACACCGAAGTTGTCTAGGATGACTAAGAAATAAATTCTGTGGATAATAGCTATACAAACTGTTATTACTTTATCTAATATAATTTGGATTAGATTTTACTAGCGCTCTAGATGATCATGCGAAATTTATATTGCTAATTTAGATAATTCTTTTGTCCATTCTCTTATTTTCCTTTTTGAATTGATTAACTGCAAAAGCTCTACTTTAATTTGAATGTTATAGTCGAAATCACCAAGTCTTCTAATGATTCTAACTGAAAAAGTTCTTCTATTCTATATTCTTCTAAAGAAGTCTGGAGTATAAATATCCATCTTCTGAGATGTTTAATCTGATTATCATCATAGGTGCAATGAGTATTATATTTTGGTTCTGCACTCATAAATTTGAAGTAAATGCTTGAGTCGTTTAGTTGTAAGTCCAACTCGATACTTCTCATTTTTTTTTTCTCAAATAAGTAATATCTTAGTAATAAGAAAATATCTTACTTGAGTTTTAATGAAAATTTATCTAGAATTATTCTTTAAGTGTTCTTATTACTAATATAACCACAGTTCATGAAAATTCCGGCACCTTTCATACATGTTCTATTAGCGCCTAAATAGACCTAGACAAAGCTTATTAGCAGCAATGGTCATTTTAAGGTAAAAGACTCGGAGATATTAGTTGTGCAGAAAAACATAACCGATTGATTTTCGTAAGAACAAAAGAGTAATACAAGGTCAAGATTCATAAAGATTAATTAAGTATTCATAGCACTCAAGCAAAAGTACTTCGTTAAAACAAGAAAATTATATACAGAGTTTACTGAGGATTTTCTCTTTCGGGAAGTCCCTTGAAAAGCTAAGATTTTACAAACTTACCTTAAAAACACTCCTGAAAGACACACGTTTTGGGTGGAATTCAGAAGATTTCAAGTAAAGTTACTTGCTATGAATTCTAAACATCTGCTAATGCAAAATCATCCTTTATTTATATCGTTGAGGAGTTCACCGAGAACCCATCTCTCAACCACACAGACCAAAGTGATTTCCACGTAAGGTAGGAATCAGAAAATAATAAAATTTTATTAACAAAGAAAATGATAAGATGCCACAGCCTGGCAAAGCAAAAGGAAAGAACAAAAATATGCCACGAGACTCAGATTTTTAACATGTTGTTTAATACTCATCACCAGCCTTTCTGGAAATACAGATAGGAGAAAGTCCTGATCTGTGTAAGGAATGATTAAGGAATCTAAGGAATCTAAGACCCCATAATCTAAGAGTAACCCAAAAGTGATTGGCAAGGTTATAACCGAAGAAATTCTAAATGGTCTAAATTATGATAAATTAATAGTTGCTTTCGTGAAAAAGAAGGGGAAACTACTTGAGGGTGAAACATTTTGTTTGATTATATGAACATTTATTTCTGGTATTGATCTAGGGTGATGGGCTAAGTAATTCAATGCGGAAAAACAATATCCACATTTAATTCTTTCTTCAGATAAATATATTGAATATCTTTTGGTAAATTCTTAATCTTTTCTCTCATATGGAAGTTTGTATTGTTAAAGTTAATTCCTTGCTTCTGTTTGCTGTCTAATTTCTGATGTCCTTTTATGTAATTTGTAACGTTTTTCAGTCGACTCAATTCTGTGTAAAAGGGCTGACTGTTGCCTTTATCAGTCAACCCATTCTCTTTATCAGTCGACCCAATTACTTCAGTCGGCTTATGTATTGAGCCATATATATCAGAAATATATGAATGAAAAGATCAGATCTCTGTTTTTATAAAAAGCATCATCCCTCTGTTTCCAAAGCACTTTGTTTCTTTGATTTTCAATCTTTATCATTTTATTCAAGTTTTATTAATGATGAAAGATTGTCTAAATACCAACATGGTATCAGAGCCAATCTGATCAAAGAGTGGGGCGTTTTTTTATTCTCAAAAAGGGGGAAAATTCTAAGTGAAACCCTATAATCAAAATTTTTCAAATTCATGGCTGGTTCAAGTAGCAGTGGTGAGATTCGAACTCCTATCTTTAGTGGGTGAACCACGACTTCTGGAGGACAAAGTTGAGAACAATTTTTGTATCTCATGATTTGTGGAGCTTGATTGAAGATGGCTATGTTGCACATCTAAGTACTGTGGTTTTGACAGAGACTTGATGAGTAGATTTTATATTATATATTTTACCCTAATCTTAGTATATTTTGGTTAATATTTTGGAAGAATTTTGATACTTTGAATTGTATTTTCAATATAGGACTTTCGACTTCCTCTGGAGCAAAACAGGACCAAATGGACGAATTTTGGAGTAATTCCAGTTGGAGGACGTTCGTTAGTCACTTATCGTGATCGTATCAAAATTTGGGATTTTTCGACCAAGCGGTTATTTTCTGGTGATAAAATAAAGAAGCGGTGCGCAGTGCTGGAAAATGACGTTTTTGGGCTTAAATTGCGTTTTTGGAGTCCAAGATGACCTCGGATGGGTTCGTGGCCTTCTGGAAAAGTGTTCAACATATCCCAAACATTAAATCTAGCTACATTGGGCCAGTTTTGGAGCAGCTTATGGGTCAAAACGTGGCTGTTCAGATTTTAGACGAATTTTATCATTTAATTTAGGGTTATGTTTCCTAAGTTTTTTTGGGGGGATTATTAATTTTTAGTTTCCTAGGGTTTGGTGGAGGCTGAGCAGATATATTGCTTGGCCGTCTACCATTTTTCTTGACGTTTCTTTTATGCAATTTTGGAGACAGAGATATTTGTTAGGGTTTTGGAGACTTTTTACTTGAAGGTGTTTTCAATCATTTTCTTGAATATATTTTCTATGATTTCAATTATGAATATGGGGAACTAATTTCTATTGCTAGGGCGAAACCTTGAGCCTTAGCATGAATATGTGATTTTTATTTAATTGCTTATAATTGATTGCATGCATACTTTGAATTGTTAATCACCGAGATAAAAAACTATCTAATTGTCTTAATGCTTGATCACCATTAGGATCTTTAGAAAAGTAATTTGATGCAATTTTGGTCGGAAGGTTCCCTGAAATTGATGCTAGCTTCTTGTGATTAATAATTGTAATTTCACTTAGGATGAATATCGCGTCTTAAGGATTGCATGGTTTTTCAAAGGATTTTCATAAAGCATAATGAGTCTTTCATGTTCAAATTTGATCCAAACGTCCGGACGGGTTGCATGTTAGATATACGTTCTATGTTGGAGGTTCCAAGTAGAATATGAATTAGGAAAATCTAACCTTCAAAGTGGCATGTATAGATCATAAGTAATGGGTAAAAATTCATAGGATTGTTAGGTGATGGTAGAACCCTAGTGCTTTCTTAATTTTATTCTCCCAAAACTGTTTTCTTCTCTCTAGCTCTAATATTGTAGATTGTTTATTTTAATTCATTAATTTCGTTTTTATTTTAATTAGGTTATAAAATCAATCACCTCAACTTCTATTTTACAATAATTAAATGAAATCTGATTAGTTTCGAATTATTTAATAGTCCCTGTGGAGACGACCTTGCGAGATCCGTTTATACTACAATAACCTTGTGATTCTTGCAAGTAAAATAGGAGATTTAAGCTCGTTCACATGAGTAGTAAAATCCCTATCAAGAAAATGGCGCCGTTGCCTTGGATTATTTAAAATAATCCCTACGAATCAGATTTTCAATTAGTTATTGCTGTTTATATATATATATATATATATATATATATATATATATATATATATATATATATATATATATATATATATATAATTTCATTTTTATTTTATTTTTACATATTACAATAGTACAGCAGTGCAGATTTCATAAATCTGTGCATGGTCAGCACCCGTTCAGCAGTGCAGAAATTGATTCCACTTGATCCAGAACTTGAGCAGAATCTAAGGAGGAGACGCAGAGAGCAAAATTTGCAACGGGTTCCTCCTCTGCAGGGAATTTTTCTACAGTCTTTAAATTCTGAAGACCTGCACAGCAAAGAAAAAATGGCATTTGTAATTCCAGAAGCTGGTCTACCCCTGGGTGATTCACTAACAGCTCATACCACAAATATACCAAGTTGCATTACTTATCCGGCAGTGGAGGAAGGGTCTGCATTTGAAATAAAGCAGCACATGTTGAATATTCTACCTACGTTTCATGGGTTATCATCTGATGATCCTAACATGCACATTGCAGAATTTTTAATGGGGTGCAAAAACATTTTGGTAAGGGGATTTTCAGCCGAATCTATTAAGCTGCGTTTGTTTCCATAGACACTAAAAGATCAAGCAAGGAGATGGCTCCTCACACTCCCATCTGGAAGTATTAGTACTTGGGCCCAACTCAGTGAAAAATTTTTAAACAAGTATTATCCGGCTTCTAAGACTCTTGACATGAGAACTCAGATTTTATCTTTTGCCCAAAAACCAAATGAGGAGTTTCATGAGGCGTGGGAGCGGTTTAAAGAGTTGATTAGAAAATGTCCACATTCGGGTATTAACACTACTGATCAAATGCACATATTTTTCAGAGGGTTGAATATGACTACAAAAACTCTTGTCAACGCTTCATGCGGAGGTTCGTACAAAGATAAAAATGCACAAGAGGCTTGTTTGTTATTTGAAAAAATGGCAGCAGATACTCAGCAGTGGGCAGTTGAGCAGCCACAATCTAGATATGTTTTTGAGATGTCTAACGGCTCTCCGTATGTTACAGCACAAATTGAAAAAATGGAGAAAAGGCTTGATGCAAAATTTGACATGTTATTACAGAGAATACCAAGTTCCCAGGTTGCTGTACAGTAGCCCTTACAAGCTGCCTGCAGCATTTGCAACATGATAACTCACGATTTTATGAGCTGCCCACATAAAGATGTTTCTCCAAATTTTACAGCAGAGCAGGTTAACGCATTTAACAATTTCCAGCGCCCCCGATATGACCCGTATTCTAATTTCTACAACCCAAGTTGGAGAGATCATCCTAATCTAAGGTGGGACAAGGAACAACACACTAGGCCTTAATTTCAACAACAGGTACAGCAACCTGCTGCACCTAAGGCTGCTTGGGAGGTTGCAATTGAAAAATTAGCAAATACTACCACTCAAGAAATTCAAAATCTACAGGCAACAGTGAAAAACATGGAAAAACAGATGGGGTAGATTGCTTTGCAGGTTTCTGGGAGGGCAGGTGGTACATTTCCCAGCCAAACCGAACCAAATCCAAGGGGAGGTGCAGATTGCAAGGCAGTTAGAGTTCTACGTTTCGGCAAAAGTTTTGATAACAGGGATGAAAATTGCATTCAAAATTCGCGGGTGGCTTCACAGCCAAAAACAGATTCGGGGAATGTTGAAAAATCTGCCAATTCGAAAGATTCTGAACAATCATTGAACAGTTCCGAAAATGGTGCAGATATTGTTGTGGATCGTGTTTATGAGCCACCTATACCTTATCCCGAACGGTTGAAGCCTAAAGTTAAAGATCAACAATTGACAGATTTTATGAAGACTTTGTCTAAGGTTCAGATTACTCTGCCGTTAATTGATGCCATAAAAAACATTCTGTCTTATGCCAAGTTTTTTAAGGATGTTTGCACAAAGAAAAAGAAGCTCGTTGATTTTGAGAAAGTGATTCTTACAGAACAGTGCAGCGCTGTTCTGCTTCACAAGTTGCCCCGGAAGAAACAAGATCCAAGGAGTTTTACAATTTCATGCACAATTGGAAATTCTCATTTTAAACGTGCTTTAATTGATTTAGGTGCTAGTATTAATTTAATGCTTTTTTCTGTTTTTCAGAGACTGGGACAAGGAGAAATCAAGCCTACATCAGTTATTCTACAACTAGCGGACCGTTCAGTTGCTTATCCAAGGGGTATTATTGAAGACCTAATTATTAAAGTTGATAATCTCTATCTTCCTGCGGATTTTGTGATTTTGGATATGGATGAAGATATGCAAACACCGATTATTTTGAGACGCCCCTTCATGGCAACAGCTAGAACATTAATTGATGTAGAGGCTGGAACACTTACACTTAGAGTGCAAGATCAATATGTTGTGCTCAGTTTGTTTGAAGCTACTAAAAGGCCAGGTGATGTGCATGATTGTATGCGTGTTGATGTGCTTAACAGCTTATTACATGCTGAAATTATGCCACGTTTGACATCTGATCCATTGTTAAATGTGTTGCATGGGTTTGAGAATAAAAATACAGAAGATGAAGAGGTTTTTGAGTATGTTTCTACTTTGGAAAGTGTTCCTTTTCAACCCCCACGTTGGAGGCACGTTTTTGAGAGTTTGGGGGAACCCAAAAAGCTGTTGCAGCCTTCTAAAGTACAGCCACCTAAACTGGAGTTAAGAGTGCTTCCAGAATACTTGAAATATGCTTATTTGGGTACAGATTCTTCGCTGCCAGTTATTATTGCTGCTGATTTATCATCAACAGAAGAAGATAAACTGTTGCGCATTTTAAGGAGTTATCAAGATGCAATTGGCTGGACTATAGCTGACATTAAAGGGATCAGCCCTACAATTTGTATGCATAAAATTTTAATGGAAGATGGAGTAAAGCATGCAATTGACGCTCAACGTCGTTTGAATCCAATTATGAAAGAAGTTGTTCGTAATGAAGTTATGAAGCTTTTAGATGCTGGGATGATCTATCCTATTTCATATAGTAAGTGGATTAGTCCAACTCAAGTGGTGCCAAAACGTTCTGGTATTACAGTTATGAAGAATGATAATAATGAACTTGTGCCTACTCGTTTGACTACTGGGTGGCGTATGTGTGTTGATTATAGAAAGATCAATGCAGGCACTCGAAATGATCATTTTCCATTGCCATTCATTGATCAAATGTTGGAAAGGTTGGCTGGTCGTGCCTTCTATTGTTTCTTGGATGGCTATTCAGGGTACAACCAGATTCCAATTGCCCCTGAGGATCAAGAAAAGACAACCTTTACTTGTCCTTTTGGGACTTTCGCATATAGAAGAATGCCTTTTGGTTTGTGCAATGCACCTGCCACATTTCAGCGTTGCATGATGAGCATATTTACCGGGTTAGTTGAACATGTAGTTGAGGTATTTATGGATGACTTTTCTGTTTTTGGGGATTCTTTTGACCAATGTTTGCAGAATTTATCTCTAGTTCTTGAAAGGTGCATTAAGACCAACCTGGTTTTAAATTGGGAAAAGTGTCATTTCATGGTTAAGCAGGGAATTGTCCTAGGCCACTTGATTTCTAACAGGGGTATTAAAGTTGATAAGGCTAAAATTGATGCAATTGAAAAGTTGCCACCCCCAACAACTGTTAAGAGTGTTCGCTCTTTTCTTGGCCATGCCGGGTTTTATAGATAGTTCATCAAGGATTTCTCCAAGATTAGCCGACCATTGTGTAATTTATTGACTAAGGATGCACCTTTTGTTTTTTATGAAGCTTGTTTGGAGGCCTTCAAGAAGTTAAAGACACTCCTTACTACAGCACCCATTATTGCAGCACCTAATTGGAGCCTACCTTTTGAATTGATGTGTGACGCATCAGATTATGCAGTGGGAGCAGTTCTTGGACAGCGGAAAGATAGGCTTCCCCAAGTTATTTATTATGCTAGTCGAACCCTCAATAATGCACAACTAAACTATGCAACCACAGAGAAGGAATTGTTGGCTGTTGTTTTTGCATTGGAAAAATTTCATTCGTATTTAGTTGGGGCTAAAGTGATTGTTTATACAGATCATGCATCTTTGAAATATTTTTTGTCAAAAAAAGATGCTAAGCCTCGATTGATTCGTTGGATTCTTTTATTGCAAGAGTTTGACTTAGAAATCAAAGATAAAAAGGGTAGTGAAAATGTGGTGGCTAACCATTTATCCAGATTAATTGTTCCCACAGCTTCCGAAGAGGATTCCCTACCATTAAGGGAGAGTTTTCCAGATGAACAGCTATTTGCAGTCCAATTTCGTACACCATGGTTCGCTGATATTGTTAATTATTTGGTTAAAGGTGTAGTGCATCCAGATTTAACGTTGCAGCAGAAAAAGAAGTTTTTATCAGATGTCAAGCATTATTTATGGGATGAGCCATACCTATTTAAGTATTGCCCAGACCAGATTATTCGCAGGTGTATTCCTGAAGCCGAACAGGAAAGTGTTTTGAAGTTTGCTCATCATTTTGCTTGTGGGGGACATTTTAGGAAGAAAAGAACATCAGAGAAAATTTTGCAAAGTGGGTTATTTTGGCCTACACTTTTTAAAGATGCACATAAATGGTGCAAGGCTTGTGATAGGTGTCAAAGAGTCGGCAACCAGTCCAAAAGGAATGAGATGCCCCAACAAAGTATTTTAATTGTTGAATTATTTGATGTTTGGGGTATTGATTTCATGGGACCATTTCCATCTTCCCATGGGAACCACTATATTTTAGTTGCTGTAGAATATGTTTCTAAATGGGTCGAGGCCATTGCAGCACCAACTAATCAAGGATCAGTGGTCCTGAAGTTCCTCCAAGGGGTTATATTTCTGCGTTTTGGAATTCCACGCGTTATTATTAGTGATGGGGGGAAGCATTTTATTAATAAACCGTTTGCTAATTTGTTGGCAAAATATGGGATTAATCATCGTGTGGCTACACCTTATCATCCACAGACATCTGGTCAAGTGGAAGTTTCAAACAGAGAATTAAAACGCATTTTGGAGAAAACAATTGGTTCAACACGTAAAGATTGGAGTTCAAAATTAAATGATGCATTGTGGGCCTACAGGACAGCTTATAAGACTCCTATTGGGATGTCACCATTTCTACTCGTTTATGGGAAAGCATGTCATCTACCTATGGAGCTTGAACATAAGGCTTACTGGGCAATTAAAGAGCTAAATTTTTCGTACAACTCAGCTGGGGAACAACGTAAATTGCAGCTCAATGAGCTGGAGGAAATTTTTCAGGGTGCTTATGAAAGTTCTCGCATCTACAAGGAAAGAACTAAGGCGTTTCATGATAGTCAAATTTTACGAAAAGAATTTCAACCAGGACAAAAGGTTCTGCTATTCAGTTCACGGCTAAAGCTGTTTCCAGGGAAATTGAAATCTAGCTGGACTGGGCCATATTTGGTTACTAAAATCTATTCTTATGGGGCAGTTGAAATAACTAATGAGGCTCAAGGCAACGCATTCAAGGTGAATGGTCACAGGCTGAAACCATACGTGGAGTCACCGTTCGATACTGCATACGAGTCTTTGACTCTGAAGGAACCAGTGATCTAGCCACCGGACTTCCGCAATGTCTAGCTACAGACTTCAAATAAAGCGCTAATTGGGAGGCAACCCAATTTTTCTAAACTCTTTCCTCATTTTAATTTTCGTTATTTTCACTAACAAAAACACAAAAAAAAAAAATATATATATATATATATATATATATATATAATAACGAAAAAAAAATGAAAAATTCAAAAAATGGAAGATTGCAGGTTGATTTTATTTACCCAGTGTATTTGATTTTATTTATTTATTTTTTTAACGCATATTGGTTAATTGCAGGTTGCAAACGTGAAAAATAAGTGAAAAATAAAGCGCGTCCTATGCTGGAATCCTGCACCCAGCAGCAAGTCTAACGTTCACATCAAACCACATCTACACTATGCTGGAAATTTAAAGCAGTCAACATAAAAAGTCATTCACAGATGCAAGTTTGGGGGTGATTGTTGCAGATCCAGCACAAAAACAGAATTTAGAGCAGTTAATTTTCTGCAGCTCAGTTTTGCGATGCATGGAGGAAGCACAATTAAATCACAAATCCATACACCACAGAACTGAGTACAGTTATTATTACCAGATCTACAACAACTACACTTGCAGGGATTCGAATTTTACCTCCTAGATGCACCGATCTGGGTCATGCGGCTTGTGCTGTTTTCAGCCGTTGAGCTTGTGTGTTTACTTCTGTTTCCTTGGCTCTATCATGGATCCACATACCCTGCACACAGAGCAACACAATGAACCCATGCTAGGACATAACTATCATTTTTACAAATCAGACTCATCCCAACCCCGGACTAGTTTTACCTTCATATGGGAGGTGGATCTGTGCTGTCCGAGCTGTCCTGTTCTCCCTTTGTTCCGTGACCAAATTGTTGTCCTGCACAGTTCACAACAGAAAGACTAATGACACTTTGATTTTCATGATCCATGTTATGTATCACTTAAAACACACAACATTGTGAAAGTCATTCTAGGTCTGCAGGTATTATCCATTTTGTTTATTTGTTCATCAAATCTGGAGTCCTCTACGTTTTATGTTTTCCCTTTTTCTTGGTCATATGAATTGTTTTTATTTCTTATTCCTTTAAGTCCACCTTTGTCATATTAATTTTAGTCCGTATATTGTTCGTCTAATCCATGGTAAAACAAGAATATACATGATAGGGTTTTTGCTAACATTTTTTGGAAGAACTTTTGATGAAATTACTACTGACATTCGAACAAGTGCAGGGATGCGTGTTATACCTTCAATATCGACAGATCGAGAACATGTGCCCACACACAAATTACACATAAAAGCTGAAGGGGTTCAGGTTTCCGTAGAGACAAGCGCGTGGTGTAGATCGGCTCAGATTTGCAACTATTGGGGGTCCTCACATCGATAAAACGTCATGCATGTGTTAGATCTCGCTGCCTTTCACTCATACACATAAATCTGAAAATGAAACCACAAGATTTGAGCAGAGATTTACCTTCCTGAACATCAGTTTTTCCACTCATGTCGTCATGGTTGCGTTCGAGAAACACGGAGGTGTGTCGATCGCTGGGCTGTTGGTTGCAGCACGGATGCAACATTTCGCGAGGATGAAGAAACAGAGAAGGAGGGACAAATGTGGAAGAAACTGAGAGAGGGCTGAAAAATAAAAAAATAAAAAATAAAATGGAATGGTTGTATAAAGAGGGATGAAAGCACACAGAGCTTTTCTTCCGTTTGTTTACTGAGAGAGACTGATCTTGCGTTTCTGAGACGCCATGAGAGAGAGAGATGCAGAGATGAAATGGGAGCCATGAGAGAAATGAAAGACTTCTTTCAGTCTCTATTGAAATGTGAGAGACTTGCGGTTTACAAAGCCTTCAGAAAAGTAAAGTTGATCTTAACCGTTCCATTCGAATCCTATGGAAATCCCCTGCCTGATGCCTGACACGTGGGTGCATCCTCAGTTTTTATGCTCCCTAGGACACGGTTTGTAGAGAGAGGAGAGAGCCGTTTGGGCTCTGTGTTTGATGACTGACAATTTTTTTTTTTTAAAATCTGCATGCCAGCTGCATGCCTTTCTAAAAAGGGGATCCAATGTTTTAAATTTTTGGTGCACGCCTGTTGTGCCCATGGGCTTGGCGCGTGGTCTGCCTGACTGACATCCTTTCCACTTGCATGCCAGCTGCATGCCTTTCAAGCAAAGGAATCCATCGTTTGCCATGCCATGCTAGTTTCCAATGCAAGCCTAGGTGCATTCTTTTCATCTTTATTTTATTTTATTTATTTTGTTCCTTGTCCTGTCGTTTTGGTCATTTCTTGTCCTATTTTTGTACTTATTCATAGCTTTAGTTGGTGTTTGTTTTAATATTTCGTTTTCTTTGTAAAGTTGTTAATTTATTTTCTTTTATTTTTCCACACCTTGAGGACAAAGTGTGACATAAGTTTGGGGGTGGGAAATAACATTTTTGGTTTTTAATTTTTTGTGTCAGTTAAAATTTTTCATTCTATTTAAGTTAATATCCATATATTATTTTAAACGTTAGAATAAATGGACATGGTAAAGATTAATCCCACATTAGAGTCTTTGCTATTTATCGTTACTTAGACACTAATTCATGAATTATCCTTTGAACTTTGCACATCACACCAACATGGTTTGTGGGGAGTGAGATTGAAACACTTGCTTTTAGTCTAAGTTTATTTTTAATTTTTAATTTTTGTTTTAAGTAAAGTCAGTTATTATTGAGAATAAAGTAATAATTGTCTCACCCGAGGTTTTGCCTAGTAACCGGGCCAGTCCTGCCTAATCAGCAGTGATTCTCGCGTCAAACAGTAGAGTTTTGGCATGGGGCAGGGTGATTAGTTGGTTTCATAGCCTTTTCAGCTCGGGTTAATAAGTCCTTCGGGGTGTTCTACACCTAGTGCCCTAAAGCCCTAGTGGTTTGGCAGTCATTGACCTAAAGCTCGCTACATGGGTTGGATTGAAAGCTTAAGTGAACCGACATTGCACGACCACTACTGTTACTGAAAAAAAAAATGTTATAATTGAAAAAAAAGAAAAAAGAAAAATAATTATATTTAATGAGAGTATGTGTGAAATAAAGAAGGACGAGAGGTAAGTGTTTTTAGTCAAGTCTCCTTAATTATGTTGGTTCACTTTACACCAAAGGAAGTTTGTGAATTCTTTTCTAATTGATTCTAAATGGCTTAGACTCTGTGGTGGGATTGGTTGGAACTTTTGAAAAGATGTTCTAGTTTTTAAAATTTGCTATGGATTGCAACTTTGAAGGTGAAAATTTTTGTCAATTAAATTTAGCTAGTTGTCGAGTTTGTTAAGTTTTTATTTTTGTTTGAGTCTTGTTCTGCTTGAGGACAAGCAAAAAGCTAAGTTTGGGGGTATTTTGATGAGTAGATTTTATATTATATATTTTACCCTAATCTTAGTATATTTTGGTTAATATTTTGGAAGAATTTTGATACTTTGAATTGTATTTTCAATATAGGACTTCCGACTTCCTCTGGAGCAAAACAGGACCAAATGGATGCATTTTGGAGTATTCCAGTTGGAGGACGTTCGTTAGTCACTTAGCGTGATCGTATCAAAATTTGGGATTTTTCCACCAAGCGGTTATTTTCTGGTGATAAAATAAAGAAGCAATGCGCAGTGCTGGAAAATGACGTTTTTGGACTTAAATTGCGTTTTTGGAGTCCAAGATGACCTCGGATGGGTTCGTGGCCTTCTGGAAAAGTGTTCAGAATATCCCAAACATTAAATCCAGCTATATTGGGCCAGTTTTGGAGTAGTTTATGGGTCAAAACGTTGCTGTTCAGATTTTAAACGAATTTTATCATTTAATTTAGGATTATGTTTCCTAAGTTTTTTTTGGGGGGATTATTAATTTTTAGTTTCCTAGGGTTTGGTGGAGGCTGAGCAGATATATTGCTTGGTCGTCTACCATTTTTCTTGACGTTTCTTTTATGCAATTTTGGAGATAGAGAGATTTGTTAGGGTTTTGGAGACTTTTTACTTGAAGGTGCTTTCAATCCTTTTCTTGAATATATTTTCTATGATTTCAATTATGAATATGCGGAATTAATTTCTATTGCTAGGGCGAAACCTTGAGCCTTAGCATGAATATGTGATTTTTATTTTATTGCTTATGATTGATTGCATGCATACTTTGAATTGTTAATCACCGGGATAAAAAAACTATCTAATTGTCTTAATGCCTGATCACCATTAGGATCTTTAGAAAAGTAATTTGATGCAATTTTGGTCGGAAGGTTCCCTGAAATTGATGCTGGCTTCTTGTGATTAATAATTGTAATTTCACTTAGGATGAATATCACGTCTTAAGGATTGCATGGTTTTTCAAAGGATTTTCATAAAGCATAATGAGTCTTTCATGTTCAGATTTGATCCGAACGTCCGGACGGGTTGCATGTTAGATATACGTTCTATGTTGGAGGTTCCAAGTAGAATATGAAATAGGAAAATCTAACTTTCAAAGTGGCATGTATAGATCATAAGTAATGGGTAAAAATTCATGGGATTGTTAGGTGATGGTAGAACCCTAGTGCTTTCTTAATTTTATTCTCCCAAAACTGTTTTCTTCTCTCTAGCTCTAATATTGTAGATTGTTTATTTTAATTCATTAATTTCGTTTTTATTTTAATTAGGTTATAAAATCAATCACCTCAACTTCTATTTTACAATAATTAAATGAAATCTGATTAGTTTCGAATTATTTAATAGTCCCTGTGGAAACGACCTTGCGAGATCCGTTTATACTACAATAACCTTGTGATTCTTGCAAGTAAAATAGGAGATTTAAGCCCGTTCACATGAGTAGTAAAATCCCTATCAAGACTCAAATAAGGGAGCTGAAGGAAAACATCAAGAGAGATGCAAAAGCTCTTGGGGTCATCCAAATGCTATCTCAGATGAAATTTTTCCGAGAATCTCAAATGAGACAAGTGCCAAATCATCTTGGGATGTGCTGGAGAAAGTCTACAGAGCTCTACTAAGGTAAAGGCTGTCAAACTCCAATCTTTGAGAAGAGATTTTGAGTTTATAAGAATGAAAGATGATGAATTGCTAGATGATTACCTGAGTAGATTGGCTAAGATTATTAATCAAATGAAAAGCTATGGTCAAATCTTGTCTGATGAGAGAATAGTTCAGAAGTATCAATTAGCTTGCCAAGAAAGTATGACAACATAGTTTCAATCATAGAGGAGACTAAGGATTTGTCAACTTTGAGTGTTGAAGAATTGATTGGTTCTCTCAAACGTTTTGCTTAGAGATTATCTAGGCATGACAACAATGATGTAGAAAATGTTTTCCAAACACTTACAGTGAATCCAAAAACTCAAGCTAGTTCAAGTCAAAACAAAGCCAACTCCAACAAGAATTGGAAATGCAAAAACAAAGCGTGGGAAGGAAAGGGTAATTTTGAAGAGAAGAAAAAGGTTGAGAAGAGTTTGTATGTTTCGAAGTGAAAAATTTGTGACAAAGTTCATTCCAGTGAATGTTGGTTCAAAGGAAAAGTGAAATGCCATAAGTGTAGCAGATTCAGGCATATGCAAAAAGATTGTACCTACAAAGATAATCAGCTAGCTCACTACACCCAAGTAGAAGATGAAGAGACCAATATGTTTTATGTTGGTCATGATACAACCGTCTAAGAAGAAGCTAAGTTTGGTTTGTGGACATCGACTGTAGCAATCATATGACGGCGAATAAGAACATTCTCCATAATGTTGACACTACAAACCTAACCCGAGTGAAGATGGGAAATGGGCAGCTAGTTGATACATTGGGAAGAGGTACTATTGTCGTGCATACGAAGAATGGAAAGATGTTCATCAAGGATGTCATGTTAGTTCCTGATTTGAAGCAAAATTTGCCAAGTCTTGGACAACTCATTGAGCATGGCTACTACTTATATTTTGGAGACAATACTTGCAAGATATATGATAGGAGGAATCGTAAACAACTCTTGGCTAAGATTGAGATGAGGAAGAGTAGAAGTTTTCCTCTCACAATTGAGTATGCAACTCAATCTGCATTCAAGATGGAAGTGCAAGAAGATTCAAAGCTATGGCATAAAAGGCTTGGCCACTTGAATTTTCAAAGTCTCAAGAAGCTACAAGAAAAAGAAATGGTGCATGGGTTGCCGAGTATCTAAGAAAATGAAGAAATTTGTGAAGGGTGTGCACTTGGGAAGCATCATAGAGATTCATTTCCACATGGTAAAGCTTGGAGAGCAAAATTTCCATTAGAATTGATTCATACAGATGTTTGAGGACCCATGAAGACCTCTACTCAAGTGGGAAACAAGTATTTCCTAATCTTCATGGATGATTATTCC